TCGTTACATCCCTACAGTGAACTACGGCTCTGTGTAGTAAATGCTGCTCCATCTGAAAGCACGTGCTGGAGATTTACTGCTAATCACAGAACCGGCTTTACTGACAAGATGCGCATGACAATAACATTCGATTAATCGTGCAGCCCTAAAGCAAATAGTGTATAAATAGTGTCTACATTCATTCTAATTCTATTTTTATACAATAAAAATAAAACGCACTTCAATTAAAAATCCTTGGACAAACTATGCATTGATCGACCCTTGCGAGGCCTGTTCCGAGTGGAACTCGTCTTAGAAAACATCTGTATGACCCTGGCCGCTTGTACTGCCACTCAGTTTAAGGGTGTTACAGATCTTCTTATAGCCTAGGCCATCTTTGTGGAGAGCAACAATTCTAATTCTCAAACGTGTTCGGAAAGAAAATGACATGGAGGCGGAACCCCTAAAGTGAATAAATACGAGATGGGAGGAAAATATGGGTGGTTGACATATAAGTAGGGCTGCAACTAACGATTATTTTGATAATCGATTAGTTGGTCGATTATTTTTTCGATTAATCGGATTAAAAACCGACAATTTTCTTTTTTTATTTTATTGACAAAAACACACTATTCCACATTCTGCCCAATGTCCTTAAAACAAACGTTCCAACTGAATGCTATGAAAACATACAGTGCTTAACAATTTATCAGACCACCTGCCATAATAAAGAGAAAACACATTAAGAATTTTAGGAATCTGTCAAAATTGTTTAAATAAAAATTTGTCATTTATTTATAACTAAATACTTTATTTATTCACCATAACAAAAATGGCCTCCTATGCCCTTCATAGCTTGCGTTCTTGCTGGCATTGTTTAAGTACTTTTTGACTGTAATTGGGTATCTGAAAAATAGCTTTCGTTCTTGGTGGCATTAGGTACTTTTTGACTGTAATTGGGTATCTGAAAAAAAAAAAAACACTATAAAGCTCTCTGCCTTTCATAGATAACAGCAATAATTATATTATAGCATTAGAAACTGCCTACTACTGTTACTAAAGAGCTTATGCATATTGGAGGACTAACTCGTACAGAAAACTAAAAAATGATTTTGGTAATCGCCAGTACCGTTAGTTTAGAGCAGCAGTGGCACAAACCATAATTTGTTAAAAAAAAACTAAGTTCCTAGAAATGCGGTCTTGAAACTGCAGTCTCCGGATACAACAGCCTTATTGAAAACTCATTCATTCTCTGCCAGCAGGTGGCACTTTCAGAACTGCAGACCTATAACTGTTTCCCCGGTAACTGCAGTAAACAAAGCAATGCAGCACCGGACTTTGAAGCCGGTCACATAACGGACGAGAAGCACAGTGTTGCGTCGCGCCACATCTTTACATTAGGTGCGTCCCAAATCGCGTACTTATGCAATATTCTATTACATTTTGTAGTATAA